TATGTAGATATCTCAACACTCAGACAAGACTAGTTTCTATATGTATGAAATGTCAAAAGTTCTACAGACACTATTGTTAAAAATCCGGCAGAGATAAAATGGTTAGATTCCTACTCTCCTTTACATCAAAAGGAAACAAAGGTCACAATAAGAACCTCCTCTTCCATCTCCGGAAAGGCATAGCAGTTACTAGTTCTCTAGTGTAATCCTATCTCCAAGGTCCAAACCTGCAAAACAAAATTTACAAGTTTCAGAGATGACAAGATTATCTATCACATTGCAAATGAATGGAATATCGATTCAAGTCTTCAAAGTGAAATTACCTCAAATCGTGTTAGGATTTTTGCTTGTCAAAATACGAGAAATGTGGAGGCCCCTGCTAAATGCTTCATTAAAGAGGATCCTAGTCTGCATTGACTGGAATCCAGGCAACCAAGATAGAACTGCTACTGGGGTCATCACGATCACTCCGAACAGAATATCATAAAATCGAGCCAAGGATACAACAGTGTCCCATGCGACAGTAGACTGCAGAGATGGTCTAAACACCTGGGCAATGGATATCAGGCCCCATCCTGTAGGGATGAATCCCAAAACCCCTGAGAGGAGATCGATAAATTTGAATGTAGTGAATTTCAGCAATATGACAATCACCAATATTATAAACACAATGACAAGTAATTGAACAAGCCGGTAATAGATGTGTTGCTTTGCTTCGTATTTCTGACGGGCAGATGACATAGTTACATAAAGCACAGCAACCACAAACACATAAAGCCATGATAGCAAGTAAACATAAATGCTGGTGCTGCCATTCGCAATGCCAAGGTGGTAGACAATTCCATACTGAAAAAAGAAGAAACGGAGATCCAGAATTATCTCTGCCACCTTTCCCCAAATACCAGTTGTTCTCAGATGGTCTTGTTCCTCATACCACCATTTCTCCCAACTCTCCTCTGCTTTTGTAAACAGCCGACCACGATACCATATCCAGGTCATAAAATCATCAAAGTCGTATACAGTCTTCAACCAATCAAAGCCAGAAGGATTGAACACAAATGGAGCCATGATCCAAGACATTACAAGAAACCAACTAGAGATTGTCATAGCTATGTAAACAAAAGTATCCTTGGCTATGGGGCTGTGTGCAGCATAAATTATCAGTATCGTGCCAAGCTCAATTGCCTTCACAAAATGACTTCGAGCATATAGCCTATAGTTCTCTGCAAAGCTTTTGTGCTGCACCACAAAACCACGCCCAGTGGCTCGATACTTAGCACCTCCATGAAGAATGGTCCTTCCAAAATAATGTGTACGAGTACCCATTGAAAATGAGTAAAAAACAGAAGATAGCTGTAGCTGCATTGTCAAGAATTCCCAGATAGCGTCAAGGAAGCCATGCTCAAGAGAATTCTCTACGATCATTGGAAGGGCAGTAAATAGGCCAAGCTGGATGATGAATTGCTGGTTCAAGATTGCACCAAAAGCTCTATTGTTGTTTGAAGTCTTCATTGCTTTCTCAATACCACTTAGAGCAAGAATCAGGCGGCCCCAGACGAATGCATAAACAGTAAGGACTACCACCATTGTGTTAAAATAGAACCCCACTGTGGTGTAGAAGAAAGATAGCATCCGAAAGAAATCGAGCCTGTGGCCTAATCTATATACATCCCTGCTCAGAACCTGCTCACCATTGCCACTAGCGACCTTAGCCTCGAACATGGATATTTGATTCAATCCAACATCCCTTCCCTTACCCACCTGTATGTACTCATGGTGTGTCACACTGCCACCTCTAAGTGTGCAACTGAAGCCAGCAAAGATGTCTTCACTGATGTTGATCACTCTTGAAGCCTTGCTAAGTCCACCTCTACTAAGGAACCAAAACCTGTCAAACACATCTGGGTGTCCATAGTGCATTCTGATTTTCAATGGGTTTGCTAGTACACGCTGCCCAAGAGTGACAAAGCTCATTTCCTGGGATGACATGAACCACGCCAAAGATGAGACAGAGCCAGTAAAAACATGTTCACGCACTCCCAAGATCGTCGGCTTTCGCATGCCATAATAGCATTTGAATTCCTCCAGTAAATTTCTCATCTTGAGAGCCTCCTCAAAGTAGTTGTCCTGGTTCATGTCAATGGTCTGTACAGCATCACCCCGAGTGAAGATAAAAGCATGATTCTGATTCTCAGGTTTACCCTCTCCAAGTTTTATTGGACCAGGCAACCTGATCCTATAAATTTCCACTTCCTTTTGCAATTGTTGGTCGAACTTGACAAGAACCGAGTAATATCGTACTTCATCTCTCCCTGCATGGACCTCATCAACATATGCAACACGAAGAGCTTCGTTGTTCCTCATCAAATACAATATCTCCTCTGCATGTGGGTCTTTCTTTGCCTTTTGAGATCCATATATCTGGCAAGCAACAACATACGTGTATTTCATAAGAGCTGTGCCATACTCATGGCCTCTGAATAGCAAAGCATCACTGTTCATCCTACTCATAGTACGTGAAGCTGGCGACATATCTGAAGGTGTGGTTGCCCGCTCTATTTCACTGACTCGTCTCACTGAACCATCAGGAGTAGGGCCATGTGACCTTTCCCTGATATCCATCTCGGAAGCTGAATCAAGGAACGCCAGCATCCTAAGTGCTCTATGGTAATACATCATCCCTCTCACAGTGCGCGCTAGTGTCTGGCCTCTATACGAGGCCCAAAGACGGAGATCTTTTAGCTTGTGATTCCATATTTCATTTTCATTCACCATGCCCTCTCTGCACATTCGTTCCAGAAAATTCTTCCACTCATCTTCATAAATCTTCTGCAAATAGAACAGCGTGGAGATACCATCTTCATTCTCAGTTCGCAATTGTTCTTTACTGTACAACACTTCTTCATTATAGTAAGGGGTAAGAACACTGAAGGCCATCATTTTTTCAACTTGGGGAGCATGAGGTATATTCATAAAAAGGGAGTTGCTGAAGAAGGCAATACGGCGTCTTGCCTCAAGATTAGTCGGGACGTTGATCATAGCATCCCTAGATGTGAGAATAGTCTTTAAACGGCGAAGCTGCCTAAAGAAAGAAGCATTTTCTGCATCAGGTAACTCGATGGAATTCTCAAAAAGCAAAGTTGAGGTGGTAGCTGGCCGTAGAGATGCTACACCGTCTTCTTGAAGTTGCTCTGATGTCCTCTTTGTCTTTGGGAAATCCCTTATCATGATCTCATACAAGGCCTGCAATGTATTCACCAACTTGTTAAGATCTTTCTTAGGCTTATTTAGAAGATCAATAAAGGATACCAACTTGGCATGAATCTGTTGCAGTGCAGTTGTGTTGTACATTTTCGTAAACTTTCCACTTTGAATTGAATTATCAATCTCCGAAAACAAGCTCTTCACAATGGCCTTTTCTTCTGCATTGTCTTTGAGAATTACACTGAACAAGTGCTTGATACTATCATATGCTTCAATAATAGCACACTTTCTGTACTCGTGCTTCGATATTTTCCTCCAAAGCCTCTTATCTGATGCATCCACTGACTCTTTAGCTTGGCCTAGAGCTAATAACAATTCATTACACAGAAGAAAACATGGCCATCTTATAACTCGAATATTCCATGTATTTGCTGGCAGTTCCAAGAGCTCCACCTCACGGTCGCTTAGCATATCTTCTTCCCTGAAATTTGAGATAACCTCATTCCATAGGATGGTGAACTTGTTGGCTTCAATGTGGTTTGATTCAAGCTTATTGAAAGGCCTTCCTAGTCCATACCGCAGCTTCAATCGCCGGATGATATCATTGAAGTTGTTTCTCAGTGTGCCTCTTGTCTTAAACAGTTGCTCCTCTGGCATGAGAGTAAACTGCAGTGCACTTGCAAAAAACTGGAACCTTAACCTCAACTGGTTGATGTTTCGAATCTCACCCAAATGATCGAATAAACCCACAAACGATCCAACAAGAGAAGAAAAGATCGAGTACCATATCTGCAAGTCCATAAGGTAAATCAAAACCACGGGAAGCCATAACAATCCGACCGCCAATCTGTTGGTGTTGCGGAAAAACTCAGGCCAATCATAATCAATGCTTTTAAGCTTCCAGACAGCCTTTGTTGGTTCAACCATGGGCGTAATCTGGAGGAAGTAACTGAAACTAAACTTCGTACCAAGAATGACAATCCAGAACAGCGCATACTTTATACTGTCTATAATCCCTTCCCCAAGTCCACGACCAACAAAGAGTCGCGTCTGGTGCCACCATGTTAAGGCATTAAAGATCCTCCCATTGGTTTGCTCGAGACAGTTACGAACCCAAGGTAGAACGAAAAGAACAATTCCCAATGCCTCCGGGAGAACAAACACACCTGCGGCACCAAGGTAAATATCTCTTATCAACTCTGCTTTGCTAGACCAGTTCCAAAGCAGTATATATAAAACAATGAATCCAGCTGTCCATACTCCTGCTGCAATGATCTTAAGCAGCATTCTCACCCCAAGCCATCCGGTCTCCATCGAAACCAATCCATACTGAGTCAAAATATCAAGTACAGATTGCAGCAATCGAAGTCCTGCCCAAGTGATGAACACACTCAATAATCGGTTCTGGGTATGCCGATTCTCCAACAGTTGCCATGGATAAGCCCAACTTGAATCATTCTCCCAAGCGAGAATAATTGCAGCTTGAAGAAACAATATATGCATAATCCAAAGCCTGTCAAAACTCCTAAACAGATACCAAAACGTCCTTTTCTCGACAAAACCTGTCTTACCAACACCTTTTCGCTTACCCTCAGTCGAAATAAACCCTTTCCCAATATCAATAGGCCATGAAAGCTTTTGAAAACAATTATTACTCCAAAAGTACTCATTAATATCATCGTAATTTCTCCATTCCGAATGAGGAGCAGTACCATTATGACTCCGATCAACCTCTGCTTTGATTGTTTGATAAAGTGGAGTAACAATCTGTTTCAAGAATCTATCTCCTCTACCAAATGTCGATGGCCATATTCGTTGTTGTTCATCTGCAACATCTATTCGATTAAGTTCCATAGCCATGTGATGAAAAATATAGCAAATACATTCAGGAATAAATCTAAGATTAGCTGCTTCACCCCAAATTAATAAATACAAAGAAACATAAATAAGTTCACGTCGAGAACTAGATGCTGAAGGATTCCTACGATCTGGTATTTGTACATTAGATCGACAACCAAGATAAGAACACCAAGAATTATAATTATGAAGAAGTTTACAACGAAAACGTTTAATAACTGAAGAATCAAGAGAATCAATGTCTAAAGGAGCGGTTGAAAGGCGCATTTGTGAGTTAGCAAGATGAAGAACAAGATGTTCGCGTTGATTACGAACATTATCAATTTGAAAACCAAATGCAAGCCCAAGACAATCAAAAATATCTTTGTTTGGATCATCATCTATACCAGGTACTTTACCAAGATTACCAACATTACGAAAAGCAGAGGTAGCGGCACGAACTTCAGGGTATCGAAGAGATGGGTGATCAGCTAAAAGATTGTGAATTGGAATAATGTTGTATGGTTGGTCAAGAAGGTCTTGGGAAGTGGTGGTGGTAATGGGGTCATTTTCGTCGTGGTTCGAGCTATTATCAGAA